CATCTTGTGAGGGTGTGAGGGTTAATTTGCATATTACCTCTTTATTATATAGGATTTCACTATGAAAGAACTGTTGTTTCAAACCCATCAAACTGATGGTCACACTCCAGAATATAGCTGATTCTGAGCTTTCCTGATGTGGGCTCTCCACCCAGCTTTTCTCCTGGGAAAACTGCCTCTAATAAATCAGCATGTGGTTAACAAGCTCAAGAAAAAAACATCTGGGAGATAGCTACCCTGTCAATACTATGGAAATCGCATGCAAATTTACCATATTAGGAACATGAGGAAAATTTGCCTGGAGAGCCCAGTACTAGAATTCAGGGCAGAAAGAAATTCCCCCATTTTCTTCCTGAGAAGAGGCTCTCACAAGGACACAGCAGGCATGACTAGCCACACGTCAGTAATAATTGCTAGGACCATGCTTCAGCTAATGCCTGCTGTTTGGTAGTAACTCTCTGCATTCCATAAGAACAGCCCATTGGCAACTGTCTCAAGAGCAATAAGCCATCTTCCACGGAGGGCATAAGCTCGCTGAAAGAGCTCAATCCAAAAAAGAGCTGGCCATACCACACTTGGGAAAGGAAGAATGCCTCTCAGACATAAAGGGAAAAGAAAGGTCAGGTCAAGAGATTAATAACATGGATCTACTTTGCAATAAAACCTGGTCATCTGATCATCTACACTTGGTGATATAATTAGGAGATAAAATTGGAGGTTATATCCTCTGTGAGAAACCAGTAATATAATGTGGGTTATTAACCAACCTTGGCATGGTGGATGTGCTTGCCATCTTGGAAATTAATAGTACCATAGGTATCTGTAGGGCTTCTTGTTGTGTGCTTTTCAACAGACCATTGTTCATGTTCACCACCACTGGCAGCTGACATGGTCCAGCTATAATCCATCCCAAGATGGTCTCCAATCAATCGCCCACAGTAACACCTTAAATTTGGGGTAAAAAACCATTTCAAAATAGAAAGAACACAATTTCAGAATAGAAAATAGATGTAATGTTTCTACATTTCTCTAATGCAATGTATAGGTGACATACATTAATAATTTTTAAATGTCTCATTAAGATTTATATTGGATTTTTTCACACTGGATAATCTTCTAAGTTTAGAAACACCCTCAGTGGTTCACCTCGTTAGCTGCACATTACAATGATTGAGAGAATGTTTTAAAAGAATACTGAGCCCGAGCCAGTTTGGCTCAGTGGACAGAGCATTGGCCTGTGGACTAAAGGACTGTGGGTTAATTCCCGGTCAAGGCCATGGACCTCAGTTTCAGGCTCAGGAAAGGAAGCAACCAATCCATCTATCTCTCTCACATTGATGTTTCTCTCTCCCTCCCTCCTTCTTTCTCTCTCTCTCTTTCCCCCTTCTACCCCCCGCATGTGAGGATTAAAAATTAATAATAATAAAATAATTAAAAATAAAAACTAAAAATCTCCAATATACATGGGCACAGAGCTTCTTAAACCTACTTGGAAGGGGTGATAAAAGGTTCTGCAAGTTGACTCAATCACCAATGGCCACTGATTTGATCAATCATGCCCATGTAATGAAGCATCCATAAAAAACCAAAAGGATGGGGTCAGGGAGCTTTGGGTTGGTGGTTACGTGCAGGTGCTGAGAGAGTGGCATACTTGGAGAGGACATGGAAACTCTGTACTCCTTCCCACATAACTTGCCATATGCATCTCTTCCATCTTGTTGTTCATCTGTATTCTTTATAATATCCTTTATCATAAACTGGTAAATGTAAGTAAATGTTTCTGAGTTATATACGCTACTCTAGTAAATTAACTGAACTGTGGAGGGGGTCATGGGAACTTCCAATCTATAGCCCAGCCATCAGAAGCACTGACAATTTAGACCAGGGGTCCTCAAACCTTTTAAACAGGGGGCCAGTTCACTGTCCCTCAGACCGTTGGAGGGCTGGACTATAGTTTAAAAAAAAACTATGAACAAATTCCTATGCACACTGCACATATCTTATTTTGAAGTAAAAAAACAAAACGGGAACAAATACAATATTTGTATTTGCATGTGGCCCGCAGGCCATAGTTTGAGGACCCCTGATTTAGACTTTCAACTGGCATCTGAAGTGGGGAGTAGGAGACGGGGAGCAGTCTTGAGCTCTTAACCTGTGGGATCTGACACTTGGTGTTGGAAAAAACTCACATCAGAATTAGTGTCAGACTTGGAGCCTGGTAGACACATACGTCACTTACAAGTCATAAATTAAATACAGTGTTGTATGTGCACAAAGCATCTTCATTATCCAAATAAAATGCAAGATAATAAAATGAAAATGTAATGCTTTATAAGTACTTCAATTGGTAGAAGCTCTTGTCAAGGGCCTTTAGCCATTTACATGTCTGGGAAATTCAAGTAACCTATTACATTCAAATAATCAATTCACACTCCTTCAAAAATATCTCATTTCATTTTTTAAATTTCCCTTGCAAAGGAAATAAAATGCACCATTAAGGCCTTTTCATTGAGTCCATTCAAGATGTGTGAAAACTATTCCAATGAATTTGAAACACAGTGCCTAAAAATTTAAAGAAATCTTATTTATCTGTCTTACCTGATTAAATTCTGGCAGACCTGGCATCCTGCAGTACATCTAAATTAAAGAAATGATATCTGTTAGTTTACTGACGTATTTGAAGACATATTTAATGCTTATACAGTAAATATCTGCTTTCTTCCATGGAACATCATCCATCAGCTGCCTCCTGCATGCCCCCTACTGGGGATCAAGTCCGCAACCTGGGCATGTGCCCTGAATGGTAATCAAACTGGTAACTTCTTGGTTCATGGGTCAATGCTCAACCTCTGAGCTGCACCAGCCAGGCTCAACAGTATTTTTGATCCAAGGTTGGGAACCCACAAATGAGGAAGGCCAATTACATTCATTGTTCTATGCCATTTTATATAAGGGACTTGAGTATCCATGGATTTTGGTACCCAAAGGGGTCCTGGAATCAATCTCCCTCAGACAGCGAAGGAAGTTAAGATTTAAGGGAGTCAAATGTTATACATTTTGCCCTGGCCAGTGTGGCTCATTTAGTTTGACATCATCCTATGCACCAAAAGGTTGCCAGTTTGATTCCCATTCAGAGCTTGCCTGGGTTGTAGGCTCGTTTCTCTCTCTCTCTCTCTCTCTCTCTTTCTCTCTCTCTCTCTCTCTCTCTCTCTCGTCCTTTTTCTCTCTAAAAATCAATAAAAAATATATTTTTAAAAAGTTATACATTTAGACAGCACAGGTGATCAGTGCAAATAACCCCCACATTGTTCAAAGGTCAACTACACTGCTCTTCTATTTTCCTTTAGTAATTTATTTTTTCCAAGGACAATAACATGCCATCTTATTTCAAGGACCTAACCACACTGGGAGATTTTCTGTAACCCATCCTGCCCCTGTGTTTCACTAGCTGCTGTTTTGAGTTTTGTTCTAGCGGTATATCTTCCAGAGGGCTATCAAGAACTCTGAGTAGTCAGGCTCTAACCATTTTATTCTGCTGCCCATATCTGCTCAAGCAAAAAGCCTATGGGAGGAAAATGGAGCTGAAATTAACTGTATAATCTGAGCACAGTGTCCTGAAATATCCCAGTTACTGATTCCACAGACACTTTAGTGGAGGATAAGGGACATTCACAATAATTTGAATATTCAATATTCAAAAGTTGTAAACTTTTTATCCAAAACCAATGGAATAGTTGTAAACACAAGATATTTCCTGATATCGTTCCTCCCACTAAGAGGAACAGGAGCATAAAGAATAAAACAGAGGAAAATCTACCACAATATTAACAGTGGCTCTACCAGGGTGATGTCATTAGGATAAATGTGTTTTTCTTTATATTTCATTCAGTCATTAAACAGATGTTTTTCCGGAGCCTACTATCTAGCAGGCACTGTCAATGGGCCCTGGGATTGGAGTGAGGTACAAAATTGACAAGTTCCTGTTCTTATCAGATTTCTCTAGTAATCATGTACTATTTTTATAAAGACAAACAAACATCAATTAAGAATTAGCACTAACTTTATAGATCTTAACAAATCCTTTAAACAAGTCATATTTCTTAAGTTTCCACAAATAGTCCTCCAAGTAGTGTTACTTTAAAAAGAAAAATGGAATTAAAAATTGTACCTGTGAGGGTCTTTGGAGCTGGGTATGATTTTGTTACATTCTCTCTTGTCGAACACACCTTCAATCCAGGATTTCTGGGACTGAACAGAGAGTGTCGTTATTTTTATATTTCAATTAGGTGAGAAAGCAGTGTAACCACAGCAGTTCAGGTAGACAACATATATTTAGGTAGTGTGATTACTAATTAAAATGGCAAGACCAACCCCAAACAGGCCAAGCATTTACTGGCTTCTATTACGACCACATAGACACCAATAAGGCAAATGTGAACACAAAGATATTCACCAAGTTTACTGGTTCATAATCTCATCTTAGCGAAAGATCCCTAAATGCGAAAACTCTAGCAAGGAAGTAAAGATATAACTGGTATGTTCCCTTAATTCTGCTATAAATCATTTTTACATCTTACAGCATAATCCTACAGAGGGAATATCAAGCTCTCAAACTTCAAAATTCTCACTCATCAAGTCCCACAATGGCTAAGATTTCATAGGAAGCTGGCAAGAGTATCAGAGAAATGCAACCTCAACAAGATTCTGTAAAAAAAAAAAATTCTAATATAACATGGGACCAGAGGATATAAAATGAAGAATACACCCTCAGAAGAATAGAACTTAACTGAGAGACTGATTTCCTGTAAATGCCTGATGACTGAGACTTATCTCCTGACCAGTGAACATCCGCCAAGAGTCATTTCCCATCCTCAAACCAATGAACTTACTGCTTGGACTCTGGGTGAACTTCCCCCTCTTGGCACACCCTGCCCACAAATACAGCCTGTCCCAAGCCCTCAGTGAACTTGCCTGTAGTTTGCTATAGCATGTGTTCCACAAACTGCAATCACTCTGCTATTCTCAAGTGAACTCACTTTCTGCTAGTGTGAGCTTGCCTCAGTTTACCTCTTTATGTAGGTTGATAATTTGCTACACAGTCTGTAAGCATGGCTTAACGTTGGCTGTGTTGCTTCAGATTGCACAGCCTATAACTGTCCCTAAATTCAAGTGGAACCCAACCAGCTGATGAGCTTGGCCTTCTAATATGAAGATAGCTTAGCTCTATATGGCATAAAAACGTGTGTGGATATAACTTTGTCCAGTCAGTGAAAAATAACATCCAAACCTGTAGAAAAAATTTTGTAAGAATGCATTTGAGCCAAAACTAACAACAATTGCCAGGAAGCAAGATCTCAAATGCTCCCCAAAGTGAGAGTTTTGTAGTTGCCTTTATGCATTGGGAATTAAGGAAGGAAGGGAGGGAGGGAGGTCACTTGAAGGTGGGAGAAAGCAAAGGAAGGCATGCGTTACAGGATAGTTAAGATTATGTGCTTTCTTGAGGGGTCTGGGATTACTCTGACATTTCAAAGGTGTTTTAACCTAGATGCACAAGAAAAATGGATAGGGCTTACTTAAGGCAAAGAGAAACTTTTTACTAAAAATGTTATGTCTGAGGCATAACTACCCACCATCACCTGCCCAGCTAGGAACTTATTATCAGATTAACCTGTGACATTACTTTCTGTCACTGGACTTGTCAGGTTTTCTTGTTTGTCTTTTAAATATATTTTTATTGATTTCAGAGAAGAACAGAGAGTGAGAGAGATATATATAAACATCAATGACAAGAGAAAGTCATTGATTGGCTGCCTCCCACATGCCCCACACTGGGGATGGAGCCCACACCTGGGCATGTGCTCTGACTGAGAATCGAACCGTGACCTCCTGGTTCATAGGTCGATGCTCAACCACTGATCCATGCCAGGTGGGCAGGACTTATCAGTTTTACTACAGAGCCCCTTTTTTTGTCCACAATACATACATATGTATTACAGCAATGATGAAATGGCAGCGAGCATTCTAGAATCTAAAAGGGGGCTTTTTCAAACCCTACATTAGTGCAGTCCCCACCCCACTCTTACACCTCCTCTCATCCTACAATTGAAGGAAATGCACTGGGCCAGAAAACATGTTACAAATCCAGTTGTGAAACCTCATTATCACACTGTCCATAGTTTCCAAGATGATTATGAAGGAGCTCAAGACATGCCACCCTGAAATATGCTGCTTGGGTATACTGTTTATGCTCAGCTGTAGGTACTGGAAAACCAGCAAATGCAGAGAGGCTTTCTCTGAACTCCCCTTACCCACCTAAAGACAGATCCTCCAAAACGAACTCAACTGTCATAAAGTTTCTCTCTGGGAGCTTCAGCAACTATCGCTTCCCTAGAAATGTGCCACAGGGGAGTTGGTATGCCCTCAAATAGCTCTTCATTCTGAATTTCTAAGTATCTGAATTCCTTCAACAAATATTTTGGGATACTATGCTGCATACTGGGAATTCTAGAAAATATAAGACAAGCTCTGAAGAAATATAGAATAAGGAGAAAGCAGATCATAAATGAATCACTAAGCTTCATGTGTACCAATAAAGTATTAAAAACAGCTCCAAAAAGGGTCCCTAACTTATGGGCTGTAGACAAAAAGGGATTCTAAGGAAAGTTACCTCCCAGGTGATCTGATCTGATCATGGTGGGTAATCACTTTCTAGACATATAACTTTTTTTAGTAAAAGGTTTGTCTTTGCTTCCAGCCAGCCCTGTCCATTGTTCTTGTGCATCGAGGTAACACACCTTTGAAATGCCAGAGTAATCCTCTCTTTACAAACCCTCTAGAAAGAAGCAACCACCCTCAAAAGAGCACGTAATCTTGTTAACTATCCTGTAATCCCAAGAATGACAGTTTTGCCATTTCCTTTATGCATTTGAAATTCAGGAGGGAACTAAAGAAGATTACTTGAGGGGGACGAAAGCAAGGCAGTATTGGATTACAGGAGAGTTAACAAGATTATGAGATCTTGCTTCCTGGCAACTGTCATCAGTTTGGGCTCAAATAAGCTCTTACAAAAGTTCTTTACAGGTCTGTAGGTTCTCATAGAGGCCAGGTATACATCTGGACTCATATTATGAAATTTTTCCCTCATGAAGTCAAGAACCCACACACTACCGGCTGGCCCGAGGCAGACTCATTCAGAGCCAGGTCCCCTTTCCAGTAACAACAGGGCTGGTGAAAGCATAGAGAAATTAAAGGCTTTTCATTCCCTCTGGGACTTACTAAGACTCAATAAAGTTTACCTTACCATGGTGATATGAAAGGTAAAATTAGCTTTTGGTTGGTGGCCTGGGATCTAAATTTTGATGTTGTTTTTTGTTTGTTTGTTTGTTTGTTTAATGATTTCAGAGAGAAAGGGAGAGGGGGAGAAAAAGATAGAAACATCAATAACAATTTATTGGCTGCCTCCTGCACACCCCACACTGGGGATCGAGCCTGCAACCCAGGCATGTGCCCTGACTGGGAGTCGAACTGTGATCTCCTAGTTCATAGGTCGATGATGCTCAACCACTGTGCCATGCCAGCCGGGCTAACTTTGATGTTTTTAATTTTCACAGAAAAGTACTTCCTGACCTCCAAACTTTCCATCTAGGACCTCTCATACTTGAAATGGCTTTCACAGGTCTACTTTCCCCGACTAGACTCGTTTCCACAGGCCCAGTCCTTTCTGTTGCCCCAGGGCCCGACCCAATGATTGCTGAATGAGCAACAAAATTAACACACTTAAAATAGAACCTCAGGACTCCTTCTATACAATTTCCCTCCAAAGGTGTAAACAGGACACCTGTGTGATTAACAAGAACTTGGAAACTTTCCTCCTACAACTCCCTTATCTCAGTAGTACAATCTATGGGGGACAAATAGCCAAGGTGCTGTCTTCTACCACTGGAGCAGTAGATTGTCAAGGTGGCGGTAGTTGACAGTGGAGATTATGCCATTTCTGCAACCATAGTGGCAATCTTTATTGACTGGGTGTGTGTTTTTATACACAGGGAGGTGTTTTTTTTTCATTGTTGTTATTTGGGGGAGGAAAAGGCAGAGGACAAAGGCGGGAAATAGTGTAGGTCTCAAGCTGAGTGTTAGTCACAATTATGCCTCAACCTAAAACATAATCAAATTTTAAATCCAATCACAGGCCTGAGGCTAGGGTGGGAATTGCAAAGACATGTCTAAAGACTTAGCCTCCAGCAGTACCCACATGAAGTATTCCTTCACTGAAAGTATTCCTGCATTGGAGCTTTTTAGGGTGTCAAGATTACAGATTTTTCTCTCAGAGGAATTTCTGTGGCAATTTTATGTCCTCCATACAATGGAGATTACTCCTTTTATTTTCTCAGTGAAGCACAGCAGAAAGAACATTGCAACAAGATTTTACTTCTTAAAATCTGATGGTGACAAACCACATGTTTGATGTAGACAAATTCAAAGTCTTTGCTAAAAGAATGAGAAAGAACTAGGAAAGGAAACGTGAAAAGAAAAAAAGGTTTTTTAAAATGTTTTTATTGATTTGAGAGAGAGGAATGGAGAGGGAGATAGAAACATCAATGAGAGGGAAACATAGATCACATATTAGTATACAAAACAAGTCTCTACAAGCTCAAGAAGACTGAAATTATATCAAGCATCTTCTCAGGTCACAACGGAATGAAATTAGAAATCAACTACAATGAAAACACTCAAAAACATTCAAATGCATGGAGGCTAAATGAAACAATGAATGGGTTACCAAGGAGATAAAAAAAGAAATCAAAAACTTCCTGGAAATAAATGAAAATGAACACACAACAACCCAAAATCTTTGGGACACAACAAAAGCAGTCCTAAGAAGGAAGTTCATAGCACTACAGGCCTAACTCAAAAAACAATAAAAATTTATAATAAACTATTTGACCTTACAACTTAAAGAATTAGAAAGAGAACAAGAAAAGCCCAGAGTAAGTAGAAGGAAGGAGAAATAAATGCCATAGAGACTAAAAAAATAATACAAAAGAACAATGAAACCAAGACCTGGTTCTTTAAACAAATAAACAAGATTGATGACTGTTAGCCAGAGTCATCAAGAAACAAAGAGAGAGGACCCAAATAAACAAAATCAGAGATAAAAGCAGTGAAGTAACAACTAACACCACAGAAATACAAAGGACTGTAAAAAAAATACTCTTAAAAACTATATGCCAACAAGTTGGAGAATGTGG